CAGCTAATAATATGTCTATTATTTGTATCAAGGAACTGACTTAAAATGTTGCATTATAATCGGAAAAGGAGACATTCGATTAATTAATATACTACAATATCTCACAATAAGAAATATTATAAAATACATGTTTAAATGTGTTAATTTAATTTTAAATAATGTATATAATAAAAATAAATATATATTTAACATAGAATCATATCTATTATTATGCAATATGTGTGAAATTGTCCTAATTAGTGTGAATTATTTAGTTTTGACGGGTCACAGCGAGCTTTGTCCGACACAATCTAATACGTTTATTCTTGATTTGAAATGTTGACAGTTTGTGACAAATTTGAAGAGATTCCCTCTAGGCGTTCCTGTTTCTGAGATATAAGGTTCACAGGAAGTAGACAGACGAGCCGAACACAAAACGCCTGCGGCCACAGCTGTCGCCTGCAGGGAGGAATAGAAAAATATTTCTGATGAGACACTGGCAAATGTTGTGGTTAAAAACAACATGGTATAATGCTGTCCGTGTGAATTAAGGCCCTCCCTATGTGATTCTGTTTTTTAATGTTGCATTAGATTCCAGAGCTGAAGGCAGACATCCGTCCTCCTGATTACTGCTGCCTTGGTGAAGGAGACGAGGAGGACATCACTGTAAACGCCTGGTTCGGCCCCGGGGGGACCGTGTCCCCTCTGCACCAAGACCCTCAGCAGAACTTCCTGGCTCAGGTGACCAACACACAATGTTTTATACGATGTGATAATTATTCATTTTCAAGTCTGAAATGTTACAGCAGCTCCAAAAGGAGAAATATTAAGACGCACGATACAAGGAAAACAACATGTAACATAACATCACGATCACTGAAGAGAAACACGCTCAAGACCCTCTATCATACATTTAAACTCGGATTGAACTCCGAATTTGAGGATTGAATGGTGCACAAAGGATTGCTTCAGTCTAACTTTATTCAATCTTGGGACCCTGTATCTATGATTTGATGGTAACAATTCATATTCGCTGTTCAGGACATGGTTGTGGTCAGAGAGCATGTTGTTGGAAAGCCTCACTATGATGTTATGCTAGGCTGATTCATGAGTTTCTCACAGGGTTGACCTACAATCTCTGAGCATTTATTCAACTTGTGGAGCTTTTTAGATTTTAAAGCGGTAGACAAACACTTGTACCATGTAGTATTGCAATACTGTAGAACAGTCAAAACCACAGATGTAAAAAAACAAAGAAGAATTTGTCTACACTCCCCGAAAGACCTAAGGCGGCGGAGAGAATCAATTCCTTGTTTTGTCCTTTTTCAAACATAAAGGGATAAAACAAAGAATGTATTTTCTCTGCCGCCTTAGGACTTTCAGGGCGAGTATGAATCCAGTTAAAAATGTTTCACGTGAGCGCGCTTTGTTTAAACCACGGGGTTTCCCCTGTATCAGGTGGTGGGAAGCAAATACATTCGCCTCTATTCCCCGGAGGACACGGACAAGCTGTACCCTCATCAATCACAGCTCCTCCACAACACCAGTCAGGTGGGATTGACAGTCCATATATAGATAAGACATACATGTTGGAGCCAGTTAATATATGCAGCATTTCCTCCCATGCAGGTGGATGTGGAGAACCCGGACACAGAGCGCTTCCCGGAGTTTGCCAAGGCTCCTTATCTGGAATGTGTGTTACAGCCCGGAGACGTGCTGTTCATCCCCGTCCAGCACTGGCACTACGTCCGCTCCTTAGAGCTCAGCTTCTCTGTCAGCTTCTGGTGGTCATGACTGCACAAATCTTTAATAAAAAAATATACTTTTTGTACAATTTCAGTTGTTTTCTGTTTCTGTGGAGGCAAACCAATTTGGGAGTTTTTAACTAATGCAAGGCTAATTCTGATAAATCTTAGGACCGGCACTGATCACACAAGCCTTTGATCCACGAACAATGAACACACACCGCTGAGTGATTAGTTTAATTGTGCCGCTGATGATTGCAAAAATATCCATTGTGTGGAAAGCTGGAAGCAGGAGGAAAAAAAACCAAATGAGCAGTTAAAACTGTTTGTGCTCATTTCATCATGCATATAATTACAGAGCAGTGTTATCTCATCTCATTTGATAGGGTATGTTTCTCTTTTCAAATTGGCATATTTAATTGTGTTCTCAACCTTATTCCTACAACTATTCTCAGATGTATGATTTCCATAATTCATGGAAATGAGGCAAGTCTTCAAATGTAATAACCGAGCGAGCTACAGGTACAAAGATGGTGATAAACATGGCTCTGTGGTTAACTGACAGCCAGAGGCAATTAGGCAGGTCGCACATTAAATTAATAAATGAAATGAATTAATCCCCTGGGAAAAGACAGGCTTTGAAATTAAAACTGTCTCATTGGTTAAGCAGCCTGACAGTACAACACTTGTCTCACAAACGCAACACCTGACTACAAAGACGGCAACACTTCGTTTCACTTTTCAGACCTCTGACAAACCCCAGTCATTATGCCGTCGGTTTGTTTCAATCAAACCCTCTAATTAGAGTCAAGCAGTATGACAGAAGTGACAACATTAAGTAGATCAGCACTGATGTACACATTTGATCTGCCTGTCAACCCAATTCACAGTCTGCGCACGGCAGACAAACATCTGAGGAGAAGGTGAAGAGTTTCGTAGGATTTTTCAGCCCAAATAAATAGATTTAAATACAATTCTTTTTTTTTCAACGAGTGTGACATTTTGACTTTGAACAAAGTGCAGTCTAAAACGATAATGTGGCTCAAACAAACATGCATAATTTGCTGCAAATGTAAAACAAAATGGGTTTAAATTGTCTCTCTTTGACGGGTGACTGAAATTTGGAATCACTGTTTTCTCTAAGTGCTTGTAAATATGGGCTCATTCATGCATTTAAATTATGAATAGTAACCAGAGGTGGATGAAGTATTTAGACCTTTTACTGAAGGACAATTACTTAAACCAAATTGAATAAATACACATTGAATACAATCCTTAAAGGTCCCATGTCATGCTTTTCCGGTTATTACCCGTCCCCTTGTGTGTTATGAAGGTTTTTCTGCATGTAAACGGTCTGCAGAGTCACAAACCCTCAAAGTACACCCTGTAGCGAGTAAAACTCTAACACAGAAAAGACCTGTCTATGCTGCCCCAGAACGCCTCGTTGGACATTTCTCTTTTTCTTCCTGGGTACAGTGACGTGGCCATACCCAAATGGACCCGTTGGTCCAAATGGACCAATCCGTGGAGCCGTTACGTTAAGTCCGTGGATTGGTTAATTAATCCGCAGACTTCCTCACACACACACACTCAATCTTTTCTCAGCTGCAGCTCCGCCGATTTCTCCTCCCTGAGACGGCGGGACGCGGCGAGGCTGTGAGTCGGTGTGTGAACACACACACAAACTCCCAGCCAGGCTGCGGGTGTGTGTGTGTGTGTGTTCGGGCTGGGTTTCGGGCTGGGTTTCGCTGTGTCTCACTGTCTCGCAGACGGCCACTGGGCTCATAGGGAGGGGGGGGGGCAGGAGCTCCAACAAGGCGTTTAGGACAGAGAGTGAATACACATACTATACAGAGATGCTGTATGAGAAACCAATGTGATTTTGGAAAATTGCACAATATAAATCTATTCTAGTAGACCTCAACAATGGAATTATGATCAGTAGAAATGGCCATGACATGGGACCTTTAAGTAAATGTATGAAAACATTAGCATCAAAATGTACTCAAGTTCCATTTCAGAACAATATATTTATTTATTTATATTTAAGATTAAAATTGTGATTGCACCAATGTGTTCATCACGTCAAAGTTGATTCTGGTAAAGGTGCAGCTTTGTTTTACTATCTATACTGCTGGGTAGCTTGTGAATTTCACCAAGGGATCAATAAAGTGTTATGTTATCGATCTTAGTTTAATCTATAACCTATTAAAAATGATGATACATATTTTTTATTGTAAGTTAAAGTATAATATGTTCTTCTTGAGATGTAGGGGAGTAGAAGTATAAATTAGCAGGAAGTGTCAACTCTCAGTTCAAGTACCTAAAAATTGAATAAAGTAAATGAACTGATAGTCAATATCTTATCTTAGCTTCCATAGAGCAGCAGATAAAACGTTCAATGTTTTTATTTATTACTTTTGAACTTTGAATTTTGAGAAACATTGTGGCACACCCTGCTTTTTCAGTAAGTGTAAAATAATGCCAGTATCCGCCTGTATTTCCAATCCGCTCTTAAAATGTAATGGCTTCTCCCTTACCCCATGCTACACCCTTCCACCATGTTTCATACAAATCCGGTCAGTAGCGTTTCCGTAATCCAGCTAACAAACAACGCAACCTGAAAGACCTCCATTGCGAGGGTAATATCTAAGAGCTGGGGCATTAAACATTGCCTGGGTTCAGGTAATAGACTTATCCTAACGGAGTTACTTTCCTTACGAGGCTATCTAAACCAATAATATGAACCCTGCAGAGTTTAATTCTGTAAGTAAATGCTGTATACTTCATTTAGCCCATCAGTGCTTTGTTGTCCTCAAGTACGTGGCACAATTGACTTAGGATCACACAAAACTGCTTACTCCCATTAAAATGTAATCAATACTCAATTACCAGTGAAGTAATTTGGGACCTCGGGGTCTTATAACCCTTTCGCTTCCACCGACACCCTCTGCCCCCGCTCTTTTGATTAATGAGCTCATGGATTTTCAAATAAATCTGGCAAATCAGGATAAAGAGCGGTAGATTCATCCTGTTTTGTGGGAGAATAAACTGGATGTACAATGGTTGTTGTGGTGAGTAAAACATCCCTATAAATGTAGATCTGAAACACAGGCTGATTTATGGGTTATAAACAACGTAATCAATAATTATGAGTGAATATTCCTCTAAAATAATATGTGTCTATGCATTGAATCTTTGATGTTGTTTTTGGTGGCCTCGACACCATCTGAGTTATTACAGTTTGTATAAGAAAAATACTACATAACACAGTTGTTCCTTTTCATTTTAGATGAAATCTCCAAAAATGAATACAACTTTATTTATCAAGATCAACTAAATTAGGGAGAAAACATTGAAAAAATGCAAAATGTACAAAAAAAGGATTGTCAGGCATTAATTAGTTTACATTTCTCTTAAACATGACAGGAACAGTTTTACATGACTTTCTCTCTTCCATTTTCTTACGTCATTCTGACAAACTATGAACAGCTTTTAAAGTAAAAGTCAAATTAAAAAATATTTTTTAACCAAATAACACTGACTTCAATTACAAACCTGAGCTGGAAGCAACTCTAACTAAGTTCAAAAGAAGGTAAGTGGTTATGTTTGTAATGATACAATAAGATCAACAGTGCAGGAGGAAAATAAGGTAATCATTAACGATGAGATTGTTTAGTGTTGGGATTTATAGAACAGAGAGCAAAGGTCCAAGATTCAAATGTTCTAAAGGCAACTCAGTTTCACTTGTTGCAACAACTCAAACTACTTTAATGTTATCCCAAGGTTTATGACATATAGTGCATAGTAATAAAAGATTGTCAAATGACTCCTGATGGAATAAAACATGATGGATTGTTCCTCTGACGGCTGTAGTTCTTCCCACTAACACATATTAAAAAATCATTGCTGATGCAGAAATGTCTTCTGTCTAATATTCCGGTAGGTCTACAGACAGGTTCTGCACCCGCTCCACCACGAAGAAGCAGAGCGTCCCGGTGAAGCCCAGGATGACCATCAGCAGGAGCTGCCACTTCAGCAGGATGTACCCGCTGTAGAAGAACGCCACGGCTGCAAAAACAGACTGAGAGAGGATAAAAGATATAGGATGCTTCAGTTCAGCCGACAAAATCCATGGTTTTGCTGAGTAAGTTCATTGTACCAGTTATATAACTGAACATTCATTGTTAAAGGGGCCCTATTATGCTCATTTCAGGTTCACCCTCTGTCTGAAACCAGAGCCCAGTCGGCTCTGATTGGTTAGCTGGCCGGCTCTGTTGTGATTGGTCAACCACTTTGAGATGTCCCACCCCTTAGCATATCATCGCTAGCCAATAGAAGAGCGAGTGTTACGTAGTGATGTCATTATTATTGTTACTGAAGTAAACAAAGGAGTCTAATGAAAGTGTTTCAGGCAGGAGAGAAACTCCCTCTGAAGGGAACTATGTGATTTTCGCCTTTGCAGACTATTTACATGCACAAAACCCTACATAACACACTACAGCAGGGGTGTCAAACTCAATTTCATCGCGGGCCACATTCGCATAAAGGTTGCACTCAAAAGGCCGGTTGTAACTATATAAATATATAATATATATATAAAATAATGTATTATATTACATTATTGCCCCTGAATTGGATTATTATCGGATAGGATAATAACTTAGTAATTAACTACGTCTGAAAACAGAAGTCCAGGGCAAATAATTGCAAGTCTCTTCAGTGCACATGTCACAAAACGAGATGCATTGTGGGACATGTAGTTTATGGGCAACCTGCTTCTGTAAAGTGGCATGTAACCGTATAATAAACGTATTATAATCTTTGCAAGCTCTTGCGGGGCCACATAAAATGAAGTCGCGGGCCGGATTTGGCCCCCAGGCCTTGAGTTTGAGACCCCTGCACTACAGGAAAGGGAAAACCCCAAAAAGCACAATAGGACCTCTTTAAATGCAATCAAATTAACTAATAGATAAGATAGACCTTTTGCCAATGCCATCAGTATTTGTAATTATATCTAATTTCCTGCTGTTTTTATATAAAATATTTTTAAAGTGCAACTGAAATCACTTTTTAAGTCAAAAATAATGTCAATGTGTTGATTTAATGTGTATGTATTAGTTTCTTTTACCAAAGTATTAAAATAAAAACACTACTTTATTCAAGATCTGATTGGCTGTATCAAAACAAGGTATTTTATCAGTAGTCGAATAAATGCAAAACTACGGTGGGCCATCGTAAAAGCAAGAAATTACTATTTTAATTCCCCCCTTTTGGGATCTGTGTTTTTTAGAAAATGGCGATTTACAGAGCAGATATGTATGCACTAAGAGTACAAAACTGCATTTTAATTGGAGTTAATTTCAAATTCAATTCCTATGGTTTATTTCTTGTTAGAGACCAATTTCGCAGCAAAGACAAAGGGAGGATTAGGAGGTGTGTGTGAAAGGTCTTGTTCTTTCCCTTTTTTAATGGGACTCCAGGTGAATGTATTTCATACTTGACAAAACAACACTTTAATCTAGCTTTGCTCAGCTCTGCTAACAAATCCTGGAAATTGGCGACTCGGGATTACCTGGATGAATTTGAAGATGGCAAAAGCAGGCGCGCTCTGCTCAGCATAAACACAGCCTAATATGCTGTAGAGCTGCGTGTTGAAACAACTGTCCCCGAGTCCGAGCAGGAAGCTGCACAGCAGGGCGATGGACACGCTGAGAGAGAAATATAGTTCTTATTAAAGATTGCTAAAGAGGATTGTAACTGGCCTTCCTGGCGTTCATTCTTCTTTATTGTTAAAGGGTTTGTTAGGGATTGTTTGAAGAGAGCTTGAAAAGGCTATTTATTCATAGTCAGTGTATTAGCTACAGTAAATGGTAGCTAATCAAATAAAAGAGCACCAGCACGGGAGCAAATGGTCTGCTGTGGACGTGAGCAGCAGCAAAACTACCTTCAGCCACCTTCAAAAAAGCCATCTACAAAAAATCAATATCAGTCTAAGTGTGGGCTTTATTTAGACTGCTTTAAATCACCACCAGTTAGACTCATCAACTGGAGAACTAAACTTTTATCTGTATTTTCCTCCTTTAAAAATAAATGTAATTTTTCCCCACAATCTAGTATGTTTTTTGTCTTTATGTGACCTTGGTTAGTTCAAATGTAAAAGTTGCATAATAAAACAGAGGAACTGACCTATTGAAGCCTTGCTAGATTCAAGATTCAAGGCTTTTATTGTCATGTGTACATAGCTACAGTGTAGTTATGTCAATGCAAATCTTAGATCAGCAACTTCTGTGTATTGTGAGGTGAAATGACTGTTCTTTTCAAAGAGTCTGGTAGTTTTGATAACTGCTTAAGTTTTCTGTCAGAAAGGGCTGCATGACTTTAAGGTAAAGCAGTGGAAATATATTAAATATAGCATAAAGTCAACTGAAATGGTTGTCTCTTAGGTGGCTAAAACACATTTTACTTCCTCTCCCCTTCCACAGCAGCACATTGCTTTGCTTCCTTGTTAATACCGGTTTGTGCTTTTTTCAGATGTTCTACTCTAGGTAATACACTGACTATGGATAAGTACCTCATACAACCCCACTTCAAACAATCCAAAACTGTTGGGGGAGTCACTTACCTTGGAGCTAAATACGGTTTACTTTGAGAGCTGGTATAAAAGACGACAGGGGCGTCATCTGGGATGTTGAGGAAGATCAAATAGAAGGCAACAAAATGGACGACCATTCCCAGAAACACCACAGAGGTCCGTCTGAAGCGATTGTTCTTACACAACAATCCAAACAAGCCTCCACCTGACGAGAGGGAACACATTAATGAACTCAAGACACTGTGAGTGACTTTTTAAATCACTGTAAGAGCTGCGGTAATGTTAACTTACCCACAATTTCTCCAATGCCTACCACAATCCCAGAGATCCCAATCAAGCCTTTTGCGGATTCCCCAAATTGTGCAGTCGCTCCGATACACGTCCCATACACCCCGCTGTAGAATGATAGCTCCAGGCCTGCAGAAGAAGAAACACACGCTGTAGCCGCGAGCCTTCACTGGAGGTTTGATACTTAATGCTAATACTTAGCGCATTTATCATGAGGCTTACCGCTGTATGCCATGCAGGGACTCAGGAGCAGAATAGTTTTAGTCTTCAGAAGTTGTAGCATGGTTCCTGAGCAGGGAGAGACACAATACACTGATTTGAATTGCTAATAACATATTATATACCTTTTTTATATGTGGATTGAGAGGAAATGCAGACGGTAAGGCCCCATTACCCTCTGAGAATGTGCCTTTAACACAGATAAAAGGAAATACTCCGTCTCAACAGGCCAAAAAGCCACATCTTAATGCAAGTTGAAAAACACCCAAGGGAGAATTTCAACCGGCTGTTAGGTAAATCCAGATTTTTTTTAAAAGGAAGAAATCCCACTGGGTTTGTTTTTATTTATATACAGGCCCGGATGCCCTCGCTTGACATGAATCAGTGTGCATCTTGGATAAGCCTGATACCTGTGAGGCAGATGTTCCCAAGTCTACACGCACACAAGATACAGGCAGGACAAAGAGCAATCTGATCATCCAAACAACTTGAGGCTGCACTGAAGGCGGGAGCAAGTGCTGCACAGTTTAAAGTTGACAAACAGAGATAGAATCTGAAACAAGGCAGTTTGTGTGTACACTCTTGTAATGCTAGAAGATTTGTATCCTTGACGAAAGAAGTTTTCACTTGAAAGGAAAACAAAAGTGCCTGCTAGTTTCAGAACATGAGTGGTGAAGTGTGTAAAGCTAGAGGCTGCCTGCAGTGGGTGAGAGACGGAAAATAACAAGTATTTCTGTTAGCTATTGAGGGCCTTTTTCTGTGAAATGTTGAGGGAAATGTAACACATCTACACATATGGAATAATTGCAATATCTCTTCCTTTGCATGTTTAGCCATGAAATACTATGTTGAAATACAATATCTCAACAATATTCTTTATGGACAGTCAAGGTTCCCAGGTGATGAAGACTTAAAGAGGCCCAATTATGCTTTGTTGGGTTTCCCTTTTCCTGTAGTGTGTTCTATAGGTTTTTGTGCATGTAAATGGGCTGCAAAGGCTCAAATCCCAAAGATCCCTCCAGAGGGAGTTTCTCTCCCACATACAGGCAGTATGAGAAAAATAAAGCACTTTTTAGAAATGAAAGCATGTAAACATTTCATAGTAGAGGCACAAAATACAAATATAAACGTGAACATTTGCATAATAGAGCCCCTTTTCCTCAAGTGGAAAAATAAGGTTTACACTACAATTTATCACTAATCCAACACAATACATATGGAATGAGCATTATGAATATTTGGGAATATTAGTTTATTCTGTATCCAAATAAACGCTAGTTTATATGAATAATATAACCTACTGAATTCCAATTTGGCATCCTCCACGGCAGAGTTGGCTCTTTGCTTATACCTAAAAAACAAAAAAAACATTTTATCTTTGACAAAGCTGAAATTAATCCAAACAAATCCTAAATTCAAACATTTAATTAAATGAAACACACTTTAATTGCATAATGATCTAAAATAATCCTGTAAAATCCAAATGAGTGCTAAAAGAAATGAGGCACACACACGCACGCACGCACGCACGCACACACACACACACACACACACACACACACACACACACACACACACACACACACACACTCTCTGCTAATAATCAAATACACCTGCATCCAGAGATTATATCTGTAACTGCTTATAAGGCAGACACAAGCATGCTTATTGGACACATTTTTTTTTACAAATAAGCGCTAACTAGATTTCTATCCACTAATCTTGGTGTCAAATTTTGCAAAAGCACATTTTCTAAATTGTCCTACACAAACCCTTGCATTTGGGCTTCTTTTTGGCCATTAACTTCCACATTACTTTAAGTCTCCAGCTACACATTTCACTTATTATTTCATCCCATATTTTGAGTCGAACCTTCAAGCCATAAATATTTAAATATTCTTGAGGGCTGTGCCTGGAGAATCTGTACTCTCTCAAACAGGAAGTATCCGTCCCTGCTGCCCCACATCTGCCTGATTGCACCCCACTCGTATAAAGTGTGATGATTAGGCTTTGCTCTGTCAAAATTGCAATGATGTGCAGGAAAATCACATTTCTGTGAAGGACAAGGGGGATTTAAAACTCCTGCAGAACTGCATTTGAAAGTCATGTAGAAAACCCTTGCAAAATTCAACACGGGTTATTTAAAAATATCATTTTAAGGTGTTATAATTATAGTTAAACATGGTCAACTGAACAAAAGGTGAATTCACTTCTTTGTCATTTTTACATGTTGTATAAAACACAGTGGACTATTATTCATCACTTGAGGTTTGTACCCTTTTGTCCTTTTGCACGAGTGGTACTGACATTTTTATATAATCTGAGTGATTTGGACCAGAGAGAAAAAGGTGTTATTATCTAAAGGATATTCTTTACATAGTGCGAGGTGAGAGCAGCGACTGGCCTTCCTCTTCAGAGAGCAGCTCCTCTGCGTGATGGCTCTTCCTCAGCACCAGGAAGCTGAGTGTGCCGAGCACCGAGGTGACCAGCAGGGACACGAAGATGTTTTTCCTGCTGCTGTCTGGGAGAGGAAGATTAAAACAAAGCGCTTAATTAAAACACACAAGATATATTTACAACATTAAGCTCTGAGCATATTTACAATAACAAACACCCATATATAATCCTCTTGGTATTTGCTTCCATCATCATGCTAGATATTACTATTATAGTCACAGACAGGACTTACTGAAGTTCTAACCTACCTGATATCTCTGTTTTTCCATTCCAGTCAAAATAAATGTAGAGATTGCCAAACAGCATGCTGTAAATAAGATCAAATATGAGTAAATCAAATCAAATCAAATCAAGATTTATTTATATAGCACATTTAAAAGTGATTTTTGATCGAGCCAAAGTGCTGTACATGTAATAAAAACACATTACTACAATCACAATAAAAGACAATAAATTACAACAAATATATATTAAAAAAAAAAAAAAAAAACACAGGGAAATGTCAGGAGTCGTGCTCCGCTCTAACTAGAAGGCCAGAGAGAAGAAGTGTGTTTTTAGTGTAGATTTAAAAACCCCTAGGGTCTGGGCCGACCTCACATGGAGGGGCAGAGTGTTCCAGAGCCTGGGGCCAGCTGCTGCGAAGGCTCGGTGCCCTCGGGTTTTGAGCCTGGTCTTGGGCACTACCAGCAGCAGCTGGTCAGCAGACCTTAAAGCTCTTGTTGGGGTGTAGCGCTGGAGCAGTTCAGTTATATAGGCCGGAGCCAGCCCATTTAGTGCTTTAAAAACAAATAAAAGGATTTTAAAATCAATTCTGAACCGAACTGGAAGCCAGTGTAGTGAGGCCAGAATTGGGGTGATGTGGTCACGCTTTTTGTGGCCAGTCAGCAAACGTGCAGCTGCGTTTTTTGCTGAGTAAATAACAGACGTCGAAGAAGTAGCACAAAAAGTTGTAATTCTGCCTTTTGATGCATCTTTGGAGGTGCAGTACATGCACACAGCACACACAGTGACATTTGACCTCTGCATTTAACCCATCCTAGTACTATGAGCAGAGGGCAGCTATTGTACAGCTCCCGGGAAAACATGTTCAAACTATTTGGGTAAATTGACAAACAATTCCACCTCAAGGTCAATGTTTAGCTGTTCTGAAGCTTTCAACTGTAATACATGATCATTATCAGCAGACAGAATTTGCTCCGCAACATGGAATTATAGATTTAGATTTTATCTCGAGCACTTTAAATGGGCCCTATTACGCTCATTTTCAGGTTCATATTTGTATGTTGTGCCTCTACTGTGACATGTCTCCATGATTTAATGTTCAAAAAGCTCTTTATTTTTCTCATACTGCCTGTGCTGCAGCACCTCTTTTCACCCTCTGTCTGAAACCAGAGCCCAGTCTGCTCTGATTGGTTAGCTGGCCGGCTCTGTTGTGATTGGTCAACAGCTTAGAGATGTCCAGCCCCTTAGCCTATCACATACAATGTGTTAGCCAATAGAAGCGCGAGTGTTACATATGATGTCATTATGTTATGGAGTAAACAAAGGAGTCCAATGGAGGTGTTTCAGGCAGGGGGGGGAGAGTGGGAGAGAAACTCCCTCTGGCACGAACTTTCGGATTTCAGCCTTTGCAGACCATTTACATGCACAAAAAACTATATTACGCACTTCAGAAAAGGGAAACCCCAAAAGCATAACAGGGCCCCTTTAGGGCTGAAGATCATGTGATATGTTGGAAGATCCAGCTGCTACAATGACTACAGCTAAAGAATTACACACAAAAAAACATTTGGAAAGTAATGCCCTGTGCAATTTGTTGTGAATCAAACCCTCTAGTGAAAGAGTACGTGTTGACCTTTAATTAAAGTATTTGCATTAAGTTTAATTAAAAGATACACAGGCTTATATCGTATATTCTGAATTGTTATTTGAGAAATCATGCTTGAGAGACAGAAAAGCCAACAAGGAGAACTGAAACTCTTTTTCAGTTTCCGTTTTTCTAGTATGCTTCTGCAGTTTTCTTTTTTTACAACATTTTTTAATTACATAACACTTTAACAAAAAATATGGAGATGAGCAATTAGTGTTTCCCAAAGCCTCTGCAAGCTATAACAGGAGTTTTTCATTATAACATAACAGTAAGTGCATTCTACAAGCAGTGAGAAACGATTTCATGAGTTTACTGTGGCAGGGATCATCACTGCAGAGCCAGATTAGCAGGGCCCTCCTGTGAGCTTTGGAGCAGGTGACAGCCAATGTAATTATTAGACTAATTCAATTTGCATATTTAAACAAATACATGTTAGTTGGTCAAGCCAGTGTACAAGAGCAGTGGGCTGAATACAAGAGATGAACAGGCCAACACTAACCTGCAGAACTCTGTTTAAAGAGCTTTGGGTGTTTTTACATTTTGCAGAAAACAAATGACTCACTGACAGATCAGCCAATTTTTTGCATGATTCTTTTTGTGTATATGTATTTAAAAATTGGGCATACAGTAATATCCTGTCGGGCTACAAATACAGGCCTGACAGTATTTTGGCTGCTGCAGTGTAACTCTGTCTTTGATCAAATGGAATAGTTGCATTAAAGAGAAATGGGGGGAAAATCAAGGTGTTATGTAATGATGATGGAAGAAATAACAATGCTAGCTATTGTATTTGCTACTGTGGGTTGGTTTAGGAAGCAAATAAGCAGGAGGATTTTTAGATTCACAAATAGAAAAAATGTATATTTATTTCCCTAAAGGATGTGGTCAAATGTTTTTAAGAGATTCACATAGTGTTATCTAAATATTAAAGGGGCTCTATTATCCTTTTTGGGGTTTTCCCTTCACTGTAGTATGTTGTATAGGTTTTAGTGCATGTAAATGGTCTCCAAAGGCTAAAATCCCCAAGTTCCCTCCAGAGGGAGTTTCTCTTCGACACACTTCCCCCCTGCCTAAAACGCTTCCATTGTAGTCCTTTGTTTACTTCTTTAACCAAGTGACATCACTATGTAACACTCGCGCTTCTATTGGCTACCGCTCTTACTCAATTTACGTGATAGGCTAAGGGGCGGGACATCTGTAAGAGGTTGAGGAATCACAACAGAGCAGGCCAGCTAACCAATTAACACAAAAGAAAGACCTTTTTGAACATTAAAGCATGAAAACATGTCACAGTAGAGGCACAACATACAAATATGAACATGAAAACGAGCATAACAGGGCCCCTTGAAAACATATCGTGTGTACCAGTGGATAGAGTGAAAGACTGGAGTGTATCTGTGTCAGTATCTGCGTACCTGCACTGTAGGAGAGCCCAAAACACTCCTGTGTTCCTGTTGATGGTGGAGGCCTCTGAGTTCTCCACCAGGAAGTGTCCTTGAGCCGTCCACAGCACTTTAGGAAAGAGAGTGAGAGAGGTCATAAGAGGGAAAAATGTAACCAGTCAGTTAATTGCCCACCCGATGTGACAAATTATCTTTCTGTGTTGGTAAGTAATGCCTCACAGTAGCCCTGGGACATGATACAAATTCATCACACTGCAATGATTTGAGGCTGCATTAGAAACAGCCCTGAATCATTTTTCTTCATTTTTCCAGTAAATGCTCAGCAGAGGGCTGCTTTCTCTGTATTTTCATTAATATCTGCGAGCAAGCTCAAAGTGCTGCATAATATTTACAAAAACAGCTCCTAACCCATTTAAGGTTCTAATTTGGGAAAGACTGTTTATGCGCATCTACCCATCCCAGTCCTGATAATCCCTGTATGCATGATCAAACACTATTGAAACACAGAAAATAAGATTGAATAGGCTGAAAACCAACAGGAACAAAGTTGTACTATTGATGTTTACATATTTTTACATGGGATCTGATCCTATGTGCCCAAACCAAAAAAAATGCTAAACCGATTTCAGCATTCAAATAACCTGAAAGATAAAGCTAACACAATTTGACTTTCAATCACTATCAATTTTTGATATATTTCTTTGTCTTATATGTTTGTCTATGGATTTCACCTCAGCTCTGTGGAGTAGTGATGAAAATGTTTCACTATTTTCTGGCATTTTATAGACAAAATGGTGAATTAAAACAACAATCATCAATGGAATGACAAAAATCCAGGCACACTGGTATATTAGAGTAAAAGAGACAGATGTTAACACCCATATTAATTGATCTTTCTTGACATTATAAGCCAGGTTTCAGGTGAGCATTGTAAGTTATGGAATAATTAAAAATAGACAAATCTCTTTGTCTTAACGGAATTTCTATAATTTTCTTTTAACGTTTGCTAATCAGAATTTTAAGTTATAAACTGAATGCTGCTGCAAACATTAAAAAAGTTACAGTCATATGTTCAACATAATTTCCTATCTGTGGTAGGGGAACTTACTGGCTGCTCCTATGCCGATCAGCACGGAGGTCAGGTAGAAGGACCATGTTGAAGGGATGATGAACACAGCAATGTACCCACTGCACAGAAAGCATGCAGAACAGCAATGAGCAGCATGTTTCAGCATCTTTGCAACATCCTGTATTACAATAACAATGTTTACCTGTAAAGTAGGCCACTCAGAAACATAGTACATTTTGGTCCAATTACAGCAACAACTGTTGGTGCAAGTAAATTGGCGAACGAAAAGACTCCATAGATGATTCCAAGACTGCGGGGGAAGCAAAGATAATTATTATTTACAATGTGCTTGTTTATGAAAATGTGTTTATTCCATTTGTTTTAATAATGTTTCCATGCTAAATGTACCATACATGTATAAAGACATCTATGTTACACAAAACACAAGATTTAAAGCAGTGCTTTTCCATGATTTTTTGTGGTGAATCTCAGTTTTACACATCTGTCGTTAATGGCACTAATCGATTAGTCGATAAAAGAGAATGTGCCTACCTGTGGTACCCACTCCCAGTGAAAGTGTTGTTCTGCAGGCTTTTCACTACAGTTTGCTAAAAAAGAAAATTAAAATAAAAACATTAAAACACAGGGTTAGATTGGACAAAATAGGTCATGATTGTGTCATTAAGTCACCCATCCGGTTTGATAATTTCACTGACAATTGATGGAAATTAGAAACACGAGTTGCGCATGACAAACAGCTTTTGCACCGTAATGCGCATTATTAGACATCTCTGCCGTTGTAATAACAATGTTACCACCAAAAACAAATGCATAAATGTCATGTTTTTATTTTAACTCTTTGGAAAAAAATATATCCAAACAACAATCGAATAGATTTGTTTCCGTATGCTGCAATACTTTTGTAAAATTAAGTTATCTTCAAAATTAAGTTATCTTCAAGTTTTGTATGTGTCCCTGAAGGACAGGGTTTGCTGCAGGGTTTTGTGAAAAGTAGATGCAACAAAAACACTTACAATATAAAAAAAAGCAGGTTTAGATGTGTAGAAACTCAGTAATAAAGTTTGACTTACTTCAACATTCCCACAGGTGGTGAAGGCGGTAAAAATGAACAGAAATCCCAACCCCAGAATCACAACGTTGAAAGTCCTCCTGTCTGCCATGGTGTGTTCTCCTACTCCTTTTGATACATGTTCAATTTATTGCCGCGTCCACTGTTATAACGTCTCTTCAATTGAACTAGGAAAGACTCCCATACGGATTTTTCAAGGATAAATGCATGGTAACAAAGTCACGACACTATAATTGACTTTTCTAACGCTATAGTGAACGTTTAATGCGCGGAAGGCAGGAAAAAGGGCAGTTTCGCGGGGTGGAGTGACACAGGCAGCAACAGAGCAGCACTGTTATACAACCACTTCCCTTCTATCATGCTAAGTACGCATGACAACTTGTGACTTTAATTACATGAGATTGTTGGCTGTCTTCCTTGTTCCTCTCCAGCTTCGTCATTTATATCTTTCCTCACTCTCTCCTGCTTCCTCTTCTTCTCCTTCTGCTGCGGTTTGTGGTCATTTACACTCATTTAGCTTTGCTGCCTTCCAGAGGAGACCAGGAGGAATAATCTCCCATGGAAAGCAAAATAGTTTAACAATGAAGACATTTTATTTTATATATTTTATATAATTTTGAGGATTTTTTACTTTGTCATTTTGGTGTTTCCTCTCCAGATAAAACATTAGCCTCTCACTAAGCAAAATAAAGTTTGTAGACTGAGTTCATCAGGCTGATACCTCTGTAGGCCTATATAAAAAAAAGAAATAATAATAATTCACAAATACTTTTCAAATGTTCCCCGAGTGTTGCTTTATTGATAGCCATTGAAATATAACTTTAAGTGAGATACCCAGTAAGGTCTTCATCGACACACAATATCTATGATAATTATAAATATGTTGTCTCCTTGCAAAATTAAATGTATTATATCCCTCACACACACTGTCCCACATTTACAAGCTATATTTATTGGGCCAAATCGCCTTTATAAAATGCAAACAATGTGGGGGACAAAGTAAGAAGTTGAGAACTAGTTTTGTCATCTGACCTCAATGGATCACTGCATATGGCCCCTGCCCTGTATAATCTTTCATTTACCCCAAATTAAAAAAGTATGAGCTATAGTGAAAAGCATTCTGAAAGTCAATAGAACTTTCATGTACAATTTGTTTGTTTCATCGTATTTGTTGAAGAACCAACCAACCTTAAAACGTCCAAATAAAGTCCAAGACAAGTCAGAGTCAAGACCGAGTCCAGAGCATATTGAGACCCTAAAGAACAAGCAAGAATGTCTTTCCAGTGCTCATCCTCTGCTCTTCTGCATAACGCGTGCACAGTTTGGACCACAGTTCATTTGTGTTAATTGCAAAAATGAGGATGACAGAGCAGTTGTAACAAACATAGAAAGGTTAAAAGTAGATTACCTGCCCATACGAACTAATTTGTGATGAGTCCAAAACTACATAAAAGTAGACTCCTTCTTGGTTTTTATTTGTATCTAATTGTTAATAATTATTTTAATGTAGCAAGAAGATAAGCGGTCAGGGAATAAAGCCATAGGCAGTTACTGTCATTAAGGGGTTACATAGTATTAAGCCCGAGTCTAGATAGATTTTTTACACACAGTGATCTGGTAGTCTACATCTTTCTCAATTAGATCCATACGGTTTGCAAACTCAATTAATTTATTAAAAACTTAGAGTTGAAAGAAGTCACAAGTTTGTAGGCAGTCGTGTAACAAGTTTAAACCACAGCTCACGATGTATGATTATTATTCAGGAGACATATCTGTCCATTAGCTATTCATAACAGATTCCTTTAGAAAGGCAATCATTGATTCCTCATGCTTGTTCACAAAATCATCTTAAGAGGCTCTTGAGGGAACATCTTCCACTTCTTTTAAATAATCATCAAAAGCAGCTCTTCAGCTTTTGAAATGTCCATAAAGATAAATGTCTCTGCTCTTGAACATAAACCAAATTGACGATTTGAAATTTGGTGAAGGTTAAAGAAAAACGTAGGATGTACACAGATGAGTATGAGTTTCGGTGACGTCATGTAGCCCTACATATTTGAAGGAGTAAAATAAGTATTTGCAAGCTGCAACATTAAATTCTGAAATATGAAGGTATTTCTAATTAAATTCTGAAATACATACAGTTCCTACATGATGAAGAGAATCTTAAAACAATGGTGAATGCAATGATCATGAAAGAGCAATTAGGTAATGCATGAAATGTACAATTAGTTGCATCAAAAAGAGTTTTAAAAAATGTGTTAGAAGTTGTTTCAAGATATAAGGGAGGAGATAAGAAGTTACTTAATCTTTTCAATTGTCACATTTTCTTCCACAATTTTCAGATTTGTGCAATGCGAGGTGTTAAGAGTGCATATTATGTATATAAATAGGCAAGGAAAAGGGGAACAGTTTCCCAAATAATTGTAATATCATTAGACGGTAGCCCACTATGGAATATGAAACAGAGAAATAAAGTAAGGGATTTGTATAATATCCATTAGCATGTGAGATAAATGGGTTTGTGTCAACGCTACATTTAATTTAGTCCTAGTTGGGATGTTTCATATAATCCAATAGTAGGCGATAATGCATAATTTTACATCCATTGTGAAGAAAGAAGAAAACCTGAACCAATAGCCGTTGAGGAAAGTGCCACCTCTCGGTCTGCTCTGGCTGCCATAACAACAAAGAGGTTCAGCAGAGCAAGAGGATTACCTGCCACTTACTGCCATGTATGCCAAAAAATCAGTATGCAGCTAAATTACAGAGTTCGCTTTTTCAATTATCATAGTGAAAATCTTTGTGTTATGCCAGGTTGAATTGATGTTAATATATAAATTGGAGACGTTATTTGATTAGTCATAAAAGCAACTGCTTCTGTCAAAGATTAACTTTATTTGCTGTTAGTTTCGAGTGCGCATGCGCATCCATTCTGCTCTCCTGTCCACCGGCTAACTGAAACTACATGTTTTAAGGTTGTAACGGTGGGTAAAGCTATACTTGCTATTTCATCTTAAAACATTTGTTGTTTTTCTTCTGTTTACAATATTGTCACACGTTAAGGCGAGCTTGAACACGACTTTGATTGTAGTTTGCTTCCTGAATATCAGAACTCATCCTGCTCTCCGTACTCTCTTTGCCTCAACCTACAACAGATTGTACACAATCATCATGGCGACCCAGGATGGTGGGTATTGAGAAAATGCAGCAGAATTTCCTTCATATCTTTACACTGAGACTGAACAATGTTAATGGAATAGTGCATGTTTGTAAATGACATGTTCATAAATAACGTTATTAATGTTGTGTGACGTACATTTACGTATCTCCGTAACGTTTTTCTTGAAATGTTCAGTAGTGTTGTAGCTAGCTAACGTTTACGATCGCTAACAGCAGTCACATTTAGCTTGATTTGTGGAGGTCCAAAGTTAACGTTTGGGGATTTAACCAGTTTAAGGTTTACAGTTGGTTAACTGAACTAAAATAGCTGGTTAAATATGGTTTGTTCATGAATGGTAAGGACGAAGTAAACAACAAACAGTTTGTTACGTTAACGTTACGAGTTCTGTAACCGGTAAGGCCAACCGTCAACATCCAGTGTTTTGTTCGATCAAGAATCATGTCAGCTTACATTCTGCCTTTATTTATCCCCTCACACAACTCTCAAGTAAGAATGGATGCCTAGATGGAAAAAATACGCGATGGAAACATCTAGAAAAACTACGAGAGGGGGGCAGAATAAGCGAAACGAGACTTGTTTACACACTTTAAAGTAAAACTGTTGACTCATAGTAATACACACTTAGGCTAATTATTGCATGGGAGTATGGGGAAGTGTTATTTTTTCTTTAAAATAAAAAATTATTGTAAACAAACTAATTATATTACCAACTACTACAAGAACCAACTAACCCACTTTTAATTAAACCAAATGCTGTCAAATTAAGAGTCTTGATGGATTTTAAAATGGTACAGACCATTTATGAATTCCCAAATGTACAGACGGGAAATATGATATTATAGTGATGTGATTTGGAAATATAAAAACTAAGCTCGGTTTCCCCCAACGTTTTTTTGGTGAGTGAAAGTGAAACCTTTCAGTTAGGCCTTTGTTAAGCTGGATTTCCCCAATACTCATATATTGTTCTTGTAAAGACTTCATGTAATATACGCTGTTTAAATGTAATTATTGTATTATTATATTGACACATATGAATAATGACTATCTTTGTTTTAAGTAGTAGGACATGCCAGATGTGTTATTCTGAATGTCTTTGAATCGTTGTGGGGTTTTATACCCTTGAGAATGTAACCGTTACACTGAATGTCCTTTAATGGATCCCAATCAATGTTTTCATACTCTTCCAGGAGGTGAAGAAGTCATAATGGAAACTGAGGCGAAGCCAAAAGGAGCCGAAGCCCTCGGAGAGGATGCTGAAAAAGGTGAAACAGAATCTACGTCTCACCCAGTTGCAGGTGACGCCACAACTCAGGACTCTAATATTAGCAATGGGGACGACACAGACGACGAGCGGGAGAAAGTGGACTTGAAGATCATCTGGAACAAGAATAAATATGATCTGAAAATTCCTATTGACAACACAGGAGCCCAACTGAAAGAAAAGATCCACTCACTCACTGGTAAGAACACACAGGAGATCACCTTCATTTGAATGGCTTTTAATAGTTGTTGTTAGTGTTTAGCAAAACTTACAAAATGCTCTTTGTTGTCTTCCTAGGTCTTCCACCTGCAATGCAGAAAGTGATGTACAAAGGATTGCTTCCAGAGGACAAGACGCTACGTGAAATAAAGGTCACAAATGGTGCAAAAATAATGGTGGTAGGATCTACTATGAATGATGTATTAGCTGTGAATACACCCAAAGAGGTCATCCAGCAGGAGGTTAAAGCTGAAGAAGAAAAGAAAGAGCCTTTATGCAGGCAAAAGGTAAGATGACTGGCATTTCTGCTAAATGAAGTAAAGAGATGTATGGAGTGTTGGGATACTAAACTGGTGATGTTATTGCAGCAACACAGGAAAGTTTTGGACAAAGGTAAACCAGAGGACATAATGCCATCTATTAAAGGAACAAAGGTGAGAGAAGATGAAGGGATGCCTTGTATTGACTGCCAAGCTGTTCAAAGCTGAATGTCGACTAACTGCATTTTCTTCTAACAGGAACGATTACCAACAGTGCCTTTAGCCGGTATGTATAACAAGTCCGGAGGAAAAGTCCGACTCACTTTCAAACTGGAGCAGGATCAGTTGTGGATCGGAACAAAGGGTGAGAGTACAGCCAGCCTCATTTTGTTCTAAATTCACCACAACACAAATACTGTGATAATTAAAACCTCTCTATCTTTTTCTGTGTTTACATCAACAGAGAGAACCGAGAAGGTCCCAATGGGCTCCATTAAACACGTAGTGTCTGAACCCATCGAAGGCCATGAGGATTATTACATGAT